CATTCTTTGGCCAGCCGGCGATTCTCAATGTGTGACACAGTTCACAGAGCTATGTTTAGAAGCGACCTCTTTGACCCCGGTAGTAACACCAGAAAGCTGTCCAGTCACGGCAGCCGCTTCATCTGCGCTTACTCTGGCACAAAACGACCCGTTCAGTTTTCCTGACGTGCAGTCATTTAACGTCTTGAACAGTCCTGCAGCTGTGCCGTTGGTTGGCAACAGACGTGCACATGATGTGTCCGCTGAAAACTCTGCCGCACAGAAACAAGCAGTGCTCCCTTTCCCCAGCATTAGTGAACTCCTCAACCTGGATTGCCGGCCGTGGTGACTCTGCTCCTAACAGCTGTGTCTCAGTGTCCCCTGTCATTGACCCATCTCGTTCTGATGCCAGCTGAAAGAGGGGCACGTGCCACCTTTTGAACTGCAGCCAGTCCTAGACAAACAGCCTCAGCAGCAAACGGGATCGGCTCTTCACTGATACCCAAGGGCTTCTTGGCTGTGGCAGTGTGCCCGGCCACTGAGAATGATGCTCCTGGTGGGGACACATTTGACGTCTTCAGGAGCTGCTTGTTTTTCATGGTCACGTGTTACTTTTTTCTTTTAACAGCATCAAAGCTTTGTCTTAACAGGTTGCTCAGTCTGCATGTAGCAAGGCAGTTCTGAAGGTTTCCTTGGGCAGCTGGTCATGACATATTATATAGCAGTGCTGTAGTCAGGGCTCACAAGGGAATATATTTAATATAGCACACGAGACGCATAGGACTATTTTATAATATTCACCCAGAGAATAAAGTGCAGAACAGTGCAAATGACCTGTCCACACACTATAGAACTAACTAATCCAGCTGAGGGTTTGGATCCCACAACAAAGTCCTGCACGAGTCTAGCCGAAGACTAAGAGTTCATGGCAATGTCCTCCATGAGTCCAACTGGAGGCCTAAAGCCCACAACCATGTCTCATGCAAGTCTATGTCAAGGATCTGCACTGGAAAGGCCCAAGGGTCAGTGGTGGAAGCTAGAAAGTCTGTGCCAGCTGGGTGAAGGATCTGTGCCAGGAGGCTGAGGGAACTGCACCGGAGCCAGGAAGTGATGTTCAAGGTAAGGACCAGAGCTCCCATGAAGAGAACCGCAGCCATCCTCAGTGACAGCAAGGACCCGAGCTCCTATGATGAGAACAGCTAAGTTCATATCAAGAAAACCAGTGCGACAAGCTTCTCCAGGAGAATCAGTGGTGCACCATCTTCCCCTCCAGTTCTCCTTTTATGCTGTCCGCAGCAATCCTCAGGTGGGCCTTCCACACCCAGCACCATGCTGACTCAGTTCAACTAGGTGTTCCAAGCGGACCATTAGTTAACCCACCACAAGCAGGCTTGGAGAAGGATGAACCTGTAACTCAAATAGGGCTCTTCTCAATGCAGTTTTCTTCTTGTCAGTAGTCCTAGAGCCTTCTGCTGTTTCGGCATTGGTTTTCCCTCCTTTTCAAAGCAGCTCTCCTCTGATGTTTGTTTCATACTCATTTTGGCCAGGGTTGGCCACAGGTTATGAAGACTGTGTCTGAGACATGCACAGTGCAAGAAAAAGGCACAGACTGAAGTGGTAAATAAAAGAATGGGCAGACATGTGTGGACCATGATGTCTGAGCTAAAATTGCCGCCAGGTGCAGCTGTGCAGTTGAGGTGCATCACTCGCTTGCTGCACAAAGCTGCAACCAGGTGCAGCTTATTGTCACATGCTGCATCAGGGACTGATCAGGCCCACGACCTCCTGAACGAGTGGACAGCGAAGGCTTAAATAAATGAGTCAAGTGGTATGATTTTGGGGCTCCAGCAGGATCAAAACTGTCTATCAGAATTCAAGATTCTCTGGGGGCTGAGACAAAGAACTTCTCGGGGTGGCCTGTATTTATTTGTTTTTCAAACAAAGGAGGAGGATACTGAAGAAAACTCAGGAATCTAAGCAGGACCTTGGGAGTTAGTTCAGATATTTTCCCAAGTAGTAAATTCTGTCAATCAGGAGAACTACCTTATCTCCAGGTTGACATTTTTTGTAGAGTGTGGAGCCTGCAGCTGCAGTCTCCATTTAGTTAACTGGGGTTGGAGCCAGGCATCCTCAGCTGTGGCCTTATCTTGTCCTTTGAGATGTTATGGCTTCTCAGACTACTACAGGCCTTAGCTGGGACCAGTGAGTCACAGAGGTTTACTTACTATGGGTCTGCTGCCCACCTCCAGACAAGAAGCATAGGCCTGGGATAGACTCACAAGTAAACATGGAAAGCCAGGTGGTTAATTTTAAATCCTGCTCAGAGCCGCTTTGTGGTGGTGTCCGTCAGTGCTGCTTTAATCTGAGCATGCAGGTAATTAATTTTTTATAGTCTCTGTGCAGTCAAACCTCTTGGCCAGTGTTCATCCGTAGTTGCAGCTGCTCTCCAGTGCTAACATCACTACCTCAGCTCTACCTCAGATCATCAGGGATTAGATTCTTACAAGGAGCCACAACCCAGATCCTCTCACACACAGTACAGAGCAGGGCATGAGCTCCTGAGAATCTGAAGCTACTGCTGACCTGATGGAAGGAGGAGGTGGGCTGTGAGGGGTGGGGAGTGGCTATGCACAGATGGAGTCTTCCTGGCTCACCTTCCAGTCAGTGCCTGCTGTGTAGCCTGGATTCTAGTAGGCCACCAACCAGTAGCATGAGGTTGGGGACCTCTGCTCTGTGGATGTGGACTGGAGGGAGTGCTTGAAGCATCAGGGGCTCTTGTGTCTTCAGTCTTCAGAGCAGGCAATGAACAACGTGAGTGAGGCGCCTTGACACAGTCTAGAGCCCCGTGAGTACGAGACAAGTCCACTGACGCACCCCTCCCAGTGCACAATGTGATGGTGAACCAGGCGGCCCCTGGGAAGCAGATGCCGCCTAGAGGAAAACATTGGTGTGGAGGGTGTCATCAGGAGCTGGCAGGGGAGGAACAGAAAGTGGAAAGGGCTGGGTGTGCATCCCACAGCCCCAGGGACTGTGTGTGAGTTGTGTCCTGGAGGTGACCAGCAGAGGGGACCCTGAGACCCCAGATCTCTGCCTGAGCAGCCCCAGATGGGAGCTCCTGAGCTGGGCAGGTGCAGAGTGGGGCTGCGGCAGTCACGGAGCATGGTCCCAGAAGTGGCCCCTGCACCTGCCCACCTTCCCAACACACGAGTGGCTGTTCCAGGGAGGGAGCAGCTGGCAGGTCGCAGCACACCCCTGTGAGCCCGACTTCCACCTGTGCATCTGGCCATGTGGAGAGTGACACCATGAAAGGTCATATTGCCCAGGGTGGCCGTGGCGAGGATTCCCTTTCCTTTGAGAGGCTCAGTAAGGGCCAGGGACAGAGTGTGGGCTTTCAAAACCCTCAGCTTTTCTTCTCCGCCGCAAACACTGAAAATGAAAGCAGGCCTGTCCTCTGGTCATGTCTGGGCCAGAGACAGCAGGTCGTCGCCGGGCCTGAGAGTGCTGGGCAGCGAGAGGAAGTGAAGTGGGGGGGTGGCTTTGTCAGCTCCGACAGGACACCACCCTGGACACTCTGGGCAACAGCTCTTGCACTCCTCGGCCTCACACAGCTCTCTGCGCTTTGACCACAGTGGTAGGTTATGAAAGGCGTCCCCTTTCTCTACCTGCCCATTTCTGGAGCCTTTTGCCCACTGCCTCCACATCCTCTGCTGGCTGGCTATGACGCATTGGCTGATGGAATGTCAGTGACCATGATGCAGGCAGAGGCCAGACCAGCACCTGTGTAGTAAGGCTGCCCTTAGCCTGTCTGTGTTGGGCTGGCCATGAGCACAAGCTGAGCGGGCCCGGCAGAGGAGGACAAGCAGAACAAAGCCGGGTCAGCGGCATCCCAGCTGAGGCCACCCTAAGTGAGCCAGCTCTGGGAAACCTGAGTTAGTGGGGCCATCTGGACACAAGACACACAGTGAGCTCAGTGCAACCAGCCTGGGGTCTTTGGAACCTTGAGGAACTATGAATACATGTGTTTCTTAAGTTCTTGGGCATGCTTGTTATGCAGCACTCAGTTAGATGATGGTGGCTGACACACTGGCTTAGCTCTCCCAGCCAGGAGCTCATCAAAGACAGAGCTGAGGGGGCACCATCAATGCACAGGTATTTGTTTTTT